AATGTACTGTCTCTTTATGTGTGTCTGAAATTTTTCTGCTACTTGTACTTTAAATGAATGTCAACTATCAATCATTTTTATAAGTTGCTTCAAGGTGACTAAAATTTGACATGATAATTTTTTTGTGTAAAGAACTCAGCAAGTGGTAACTTTCGACTCAATTGGAGTATTTTTAAGCTTCCGTATGAAAGATTGCTTTGGGGTACTTGTTAAGAGCAGCTTAAAAAAGACTGGTTTTTTTGCATTATCACTTCTCGTATAGATAAAAACTAAACACCAAGTTTCGATTTGGTAATAATATTTTTAAGGCCCAGTCTTCAAGGTTGTTTTGGGGGTAGCTTTTAACGGTTTCTCCAAACGGGTTGAAAATTTGCATCAACAATCTTCGTATTGAGAAATAAGCAAATGTCGAGTTTTGACTTGATTGGAGTATTTTTAATCTCCAGCCTGCAAGGTTGTTTTGGGGGTGATTCTTGAGGGCTTCTTCAAATAGGCTGAGATTTTGTATCAACAATCTTCGTATTGAGAAATTAAGAAATATCGAGTTCCGACTTGATTGGAGCATTTTTAACCCCCAGTCTGTAAGGTTGTTTTGGGGGTGATTTTTAACGGTTTCCCCGAACGGCTTGAAATTTTGTATCAACAATCTTTCTATTGAGAAATAAGCGACTGTCAAGTTTTGCTTTGATTGAAGCATTTTTAATCCCCAGTCTGCAAGGTTGTTTTAGGGGTGATTTTTGAGGGTTTTTTCGAATAGGCTGAAATTTTGTATCGATAATCCTCATATTGAGAAACTAGCGAATATCAAATTTTGACTTGATTGGAGCATTTTTAATCCCCAGCCTGCAAGGTTGTTTTGGGGGTGATTTTTGAGGGTTTCTTCAAATAGGCTGAGATTTCGTATCGATAATCCCCATATTGATAAACTGGCGAATATAAAGTTTTGACTTGATTGGAGCATTTTTAATCCCCAGTCTGCAAGGTTGTTTTGGGGGTGATTTTTGAGCGTTTATTCGAATAGGCTGAAATTTTGTATCAACAATCTTCGTATTGAGAAATTAAGAAATATCGAGTTCCGACTTGATTGGAGCATTTTTAACCCCTGGTCTGCAAGGTTGTTTTGGGGGTGATTTTTAAGGGTTTCCCCGAACGGCTTGAAATTTTGTATCAACAATCTTTGTATTGACAAATAAGCGACTGTCGAGTTTTGCTTTGATTGAAGCATTTTTAATCCCCAGTCTGCAAGGTTGTTTTGGGGGTGATTTTTAAGGGTTTCTTCGAATAGGCTGAAATTTTTGTACCGATAATCCTCGTATTGAAAAACTAGCGATTGTTAAATTTTGACTTGATTAGAGTATTTTTAAGCCCCAGTCTGCAAGCTTGTTGTGGGGGTAGTTTTTAACGATTTTTCCGAACGGGTTGCAATTTTGTATCAACAATCTTCGTATTGAGAAATTAAGAAATATCGAGTTTTGACTTGATTGGAGCATTTTTAACACCCAGTCTGCAAGGTTGTTTTGGGGGTGATTTTTAAGGGTTTCTCCGAACGGCTTAAAATTTTGTGCCAACAATCTTCGTATTGAAAAATAAGCACATGTCGAGTTTTGACTTGATTGGAGCATTTTTAATCCCCAGTCTGCAAGGTTGTTTTGGGGGTAGTTTTCAACGATTTCTCCGAACGGGTTGAAATTTTGTATCAACAATCTTCGTATTGAGAAATTAGGAAATATCGAGTTTTGACTTGATTGGAGCATTTTTAATCCCCAGTCTGCAAGGTTGTTTTGGGGGTGATTTTTAAGGGTTTCTCCGAACGGCTTGAAATTTTGTATCAACGATCTTTGTATTGAGAAATAAGCGACTGTCGAGTTTTGACTTGATTGGAGCATTTTTAACCCCCAGTCTGCAAGGTTATTTTGGGGGTGATTTTTGAGGGTTTTTTCGAATAGGCTGAAATTTTGTATCGATAATCCTCGTATTGAAAAACTAGCGAATATCAAATTTTGACTTGATTGGAGTATTTTTAAGCCCCAGTCTGCAAGGTTGTTTTGGGGGTGGTTTTTAAGGGTTTCTCCGAACGGGTTGAAATTTTGTACCAACAATCTTCGTATTGGGAAATAAGCAAATGTCGAGTTTCGACTTGATTGCAGCATTTTAAACCCCCAGTCTGCAAGATAAACTGTGGTCTGCAAATTAGACAGGCCCGTTGAAGTTTATTAGTTTGTGTGTGTATGGTGTGCAAACTCACTATTCATATGAAGTCGATTGTATACGATTTTAAACTTCCCGCGGTTTCGGTCACATCCAAAATGGCGACCGGTTAGCTTCAGCTTTTTCGTTCTATCGCCGGTCTATATATATTTGAAGTCTTTGGATACGCACCTATCCATAGAATATCCTCCCTACGCGCCTATCGCTTACCACGCCATTTCCCAGTGGCGTATCATAAAAGGTCATTAAAATGCTTTGAGGACCTTATTAAACAAAAATCTTATTACTAATATATACAAAGTGGCAAAATAAATAATAATAACTTAAAAAAAAATAAGAGACACCAGACACCAGACACACAAAGACAATACAAAAAAGTAAGATAAATTAACGGTGTTATTTAGTGTTGGGCGATTACGAATGATATAATCGAGATATCTCGATTATACCCGAATAATCGATCATTCGATTATCGTTTAGAAATCATTCGTTTATTCGATTATTCGTTTCGTTTTTCGTTTCGATTGCGCACGAGTACACGAACCGATTACGATTCGAGATTTCGAAATAATTCATTCGGATTCAGGCAACTAACCGTAGAAAATAATCGAAATCATTAGTAAATTTCATTTGTTAGGTTGGTGGTAGTGTGTTACAAGTGTGACTGATTATAACTAACTACATAATACATATAATAATTTGCAAACATATTGGGCCGTATGATTTCCCTTTAGTTAAGCCAATCGGTTTTTAAAATTTCGATTACAATGAGTGAGAAAAGAATTACGATAAAAGCATATATCAAAGAGAAAAAAAAACGAACGTCTCTAAATATTAATTAAGGGAAAAGAATACGGACCACTGACAATGAAACTATTTTCAATCAATAAATAAATCGTAATTGAATGTTCGATTTAGATTCCATCAAGCCACGCATGCGCACTGGACAATAATCGAATTTTCGAGTGATTATTCGATTATTTTAAACGATTATTTCGATTCATTCGATTAGTGAAATATGTCGATTATGCCCAACACTAGTGCTACTGTTTTATGTTTCCATTCCTTGAGAGCTATGAATAGACTCGACTAGCGTAACTTGCTTTACTGCGCAACCCACGTGATAGTCATTTTCGTTCTGATTGTCACCATAGATTAAGATAGATGCGACTATAGTCCCTAGAACTATGCTGAAAACTGGATTGGAAATAGAGGCCCCACTCCATGGCCAGCTCGCAGCCCAGATTTAACGCCATTAAATTTGTTTTTGTCGGGATACATAAAAGATTTGTTGGTGTATTTGTTACCTTTGGTCGATTTAGAAGATTTAAAAATTGAATTAGGAATATCTGTGCTAGCCGCGACAACACGCAAATTAACAATAAGATATAACTTTTGTGGTCTCGCTTCGCTCGTTAAAAAAAAACACTTTCAACGTTGAAATTTTATTTCAACCACTTGTGCCATAATATAGTATATCTTAGCATCTAGACAAGCGAATTTGTGATCCACGATTATCTTTCGAATTACAACCTTGAAAGCAGGAACACATCATATGACCTCATAGGGCAGTTCGAACATAAAACTAGAATTCCCTGGAGGGAAACCGAGTTGTTATGACATGTTTCGAGTATTCTTTTGGGCTTCTATACTTTTTACATACTTCGGTTCGACGAAGAAAATATCAAAGATGGGAATAAAATGAAGTCTTTGAATTCTTAATTTTGTATTTTTACTAAAAAGGAGCTCCACAAACACGATGTAAGTTGCTGAAATTTATTAAAATCTTGGTCTAAAGACTAGGTAAATACAAATCTTTATTTCACCGGGATTCATGACCGTGTTTTTCAGTAAAAGAAAGTTGTAGTGTTGATTATTGAGTTTAGCCATCTTGTATTAGAGAAAGTTGTGTTCGAGAAAACAGAGTTTGAACAAACGACTTTCAGAATTTAAGTCGATGAATATTAAAGATTTTTTTGTTGGTAAAGGTGTATCTGGCTGCAGTTTTTTGTTTTTTATTCACCGAGTGTAAGGCAAGGAAATATTGCAGTTGGGCTCAATCGAGTTCCCGTTTCCGTCTGTCTATTTGTCTGTTGTCTGTGTCGATTTTTATTCGAAACTGCTGGACTCATTGTTATCAAATTTTATATACATTTTAGGAATATCGTCTAGATGAGAAACCCAAATTTTTACAATTTTCTCCACCAAAAATGTAATGACATCACCTCAAAATTTGCTTATTAAATGTTATTTACATTTTATAAAATAGCATATTTCTACAGTTGTGGTTTATGAGTCCTTCTTCAGTTTTTACCCTAGACATCCAGATTTTAGTAAAAAAAAAATTACAAATTAACTTTGAAACTGTAAAACGGAATGCTTTGAAATCTTACAGACATTTTAAGCTCATCATAAGCATGGTAAACTGAGAATCAAAATTTAACCGTTTATTCCCTCCCAAAAAATGGATGACGTCATCTAAAATCTGAAAAATATTATGATTCTATACTTGTAGTTATAACTGCATTCATATTTTTATAATTACTTATACAGGGTGTCTTAAAGAAAACGAATCAAGCAATTTATTTTTTTTATCAAATCAAGAATGACTCAGCCCATATTCCCGAAAATTTGGGAATACAGTATTCTTACTATTAGTATTACACTGCATTTATCCAAATTGATATGTGTCCTTGCTAAAATATTGATGACGTCATTACAAAATTTTTAACCGAAAAACTCACTTGAAACATTTGCATAGTACGCTTCTTTAACATTATTTAAACACTACGCACGTTATATATCTTTATTTTAACTTCTAAGGGTTATCATAAAAAATCGCAAAATTAAATTTTATAGATTCTATTTAATTTAGGGGTGAAGCAAGTTTTGTCTACGTAGCTTTTGACCAGTAAATTTTCGCTTTTCTTTTTATTCGCAGTTGTCAACCAAACATTTTGAAGAAATGACGCTTGAATAATAAGAAGCGGAGGCTTTAGATGTCCTTGGTCGGTCAGGATCGTCAAAATTTACACTATACAACCCATATTTTTCCCTAGAAATGTTTTTGCTTTCCATTTGTTCAGCTAAGATAAGAATTTGTATATTCTTACGTATAACCTCGTGCCCATTCAAAGTTATCCATTAAGCTCCAAGCAGTGTACCGCGTTACATTTACCCCGTCGTCCAAGATGGCTTCCAGAACATTACTAAGATATTCCTGAAGTTAAAATGTTATTCAATATAATGTGCGCACACTGTGCTTACTCTATAGTAGTTTATTCTTCGATCATCATTAAGACCTCCTGTATCCGAAACTCCATTCTCAGTTATGAATATTTCTGGGTGATTGTAAGTTTTGCTAAGCCAGTTGAGAAGCTTCCTCATTCCCCATGGGACCACCTGTACAGACGTAAATGATTTAATTAGATCTATAGCTATTTTTAATATGTTCAAAGAACTTTTTTATTTATAAAATTGCAAAAGTTTTTGTAATAATATTTTGCGATTTTTCAGTTCTGAACATTTTTGATGTGGGTAACTTAAGTAAAAGAAGATATTTTATGCTAACCCTAAGCCAGGATGATGCACTTTCTTCCCACGAGTCATCAAAGAATGTGTCTACATTTAAGTCACTGTCGTAAGAGATTACAGCCGTATCAACTTCTTCTTCCTTGGCTTGGACATATAAAGTAGAGTAAGCATTAATTGCAAGAAAATCATGTGTTCCTTTGATGTATTCAACTTCTTCATCTGTGAATTTTGGAAGTCTAGATGACGCAAAACCTTGTAGTTTACTTCTTTCATCAATTCTTTCGATCATTACCGAAGGATAATTACCATTAAAAATAGGGTTTGCAAACCACCCATACTAAAATTAAGGTCATTAATTGTTATTATACAGATAATAATCTTTATTACAGTGAACTGTAGCGCTCTCTCAGCAGCTTCTTGGTCACTAACACTACCCGATGCGGGTTCATACCAGTAAGTATCAGGAGCAATACCTACATATCCTAAAAAAAATATTTAGATTGAAATAATGAAGTACTTTTACATCGTACCTTGTTGTTGGGTTCTAAATTCTTCATCGTAAACATGATAAGCTCTAGCATGAGCTTTGATTAATGTGTGGGTACATTTGTACTCAGCTAAACCCGATGACTTATAACCAGGTGCCGTAAATCCAATACCATATCCTTCGTGACATGTTTGCAATGGCTCGTTGAAGGTAAGCCAATATTTCACAGAATCTCCAAAATTTTCAAAAACAACTCGGGCGTAATAAGCGAAATGTTCCTCAGATTCCGGATTTGGGAAACCCCCGTATTCTTGTAGTGTTTCTGGGAGATCCCAGTGGAATATTGTTACGAGGGGTTCAATGTTGTTATTAACTAATTCTTGGATTAAGTTTTTGTAGTAATCAATGCCAGCTTGATTGACTGGGCTGCCAGCCAAGCCCAATGGTATTAGTCTAGACCACGATAGAGAAAACCGGTAAAAATCTACGCCGAGGTCTTTTAACATAGCCACGTCATCTTTATATTTGTGATAGGAGTCACACGCAATGTCACCGTTGCTCCTGTCGTCAACAAAGTCGGGATTCGTGTGACACAAGTGATCCCAAATGTTTTCACCTTTGCCATCTTCGTTCCATGCTCCTTCTACTTGGTAGGAGGCTGTTGCTACCCCAAATTTAAAGTAATTGGGAAAAGTTTGGTTTGTAGCGCAGGTTGCTTCTCTGAACGATAATAATAATGTGTAGTGCTGAAATAATAACAGATAGGACTTACTTGCACAGCAGAACAGAGAAGAGCAGGGTAAGAAATAAATCGGCATACATGTCAACTTAAATGGACAATAACCATTTAAAGCTTAGTTTATTGTACACACAATGAAAAAATTCTCTGTGTGCTTTAAAGATGAATTCTATAACGCGAATTATTATCCACTTTCAAAACTAACTTGATGCGATCAAGGTAAGGTAAGAAGTAAAGTAAAGTAAATACAATAGTAGGTAAATTTGAACAAACACATGCTAGTTTTGTAGATTCAGTGTGGGAGTTAAATTATTTCTGATTATTTATAAGATGACAGGTGTAAGTGGATGAAAACACTTTGACTTTGAACTAAATTTTCCCAAGTACAGATACGTAATCTTTAGATTATTGTTGCTATTATGACTTCTTTTTTTACCCAGGCTATATAAAAAGTGTGAATGATAGCTGTTAGTATGTTGTGATGTGTGAAACGATTTTTTTTTCTAAAGCAAGACTTGCTTAATTTATTCATTTATACACACACATACACGCTCAAGGCTATTCAGCTTAAATAACGAATTAGAAATGAGTGAATAGGCAGACTAATATACAGTATTCATTTATTCCTCGATTGATATTTCATTTTCAAAAACATCATGAATCCAAATTGACGTTGTTTAATTGCTGTCCGTGTTTGACAATTAGAATTTCATTACTTTGAAAGGTTAAAAATGGCGGGATTTTCATTTACTAATGATGGAAAAACAGATATGATAGTCTTAATTTAAGGAGAACAAATTCCATCCCTACGATGTGCATATGGTTCACTAGCTAAATGAAGTTGATTACCTACCCTCGAAGACTGCAGTTTTGCCACTTTGTTAGAGAACAACTTGGTACCGATCTTCGCCTTGGCCTGCCAAAAGCCCTGACTTGAGTCCAGAATTATTTTTTGTGGGGAACTATTAAAAAAAGGGTTTATCAAACCTCTTTTGAAGATATGGATGAACTGCAAAGACGAATAACTGAAACGTGTGCATCAATATATCATTTTGAATACTGAATCTGTTTTTTCCCCCTTTTGAGTATGCATTATTTATTTATTTTTGTTTACTTGTATTTTTTTTTATTTATGGTACTCAATAAAGTTATTATTGTTAAGACCCACCACTGACCCGGAAATGACCGGCATTCAGGCAAGACTTCTATCATTACGGGTACTAAGACCAAGAAATGATATGCATTGATTAGATTAACAAAACAATTTTCGAGATTCTAGAATTACAGCATACAAATTAGTCTGCTATTATTTTCTAATCTCACCCCATCCCCAAAAGTCTAGCGTAACTATTATTACTATTATTATTAATATTATTAATATTAATAATATTATATATATACAATCACTGGCATGAAAAACGGGCGTACAGTGCTTCGACGTTTTTACTACGCTTATTTTTGATGTTATTTCTTGACTCTGCACCCCACACTTTAGATGAACTTCAGAATATACTTTTAAAGGAATGAGAGAATATCCAGCAAGAATAAATAAACAATTTATTTCATGGGATGTCCTGGAAAATGGCAGCAGTTTTACAGGTCCGTGGGGGAAATACCGGTTATTCACGTCCTTAAACAGTGTGGTCAATGATCATTGATTTTTCTTTTTGGAAACTTAATTTTTTTTTTCAGATTTCTTTGATTATTGAATTTTTATCATTTTCTAATAAAATATATATGTATTTTTTAGTTCTTTTTGGATAAAAATATTACAATAAACTTTGTTGCATGACAAGATCAAAGTGTTGCAACCGAAATCGTACTTTATTTTGTACATTTATTTGTTATTTGTGTTTGAAATCGCCTATAAAAACTTTAAACAATGGTCCTTAAAAAAAGGTGGAGAAATCGTCGGAAAACGTTCTTATAGCGTATTTCGAAGACAGGTCCCAAAGCGCAAAATCCTCAACATTGTGGTCAAGTTAAAGGCCACAATTAATATTAATGAAAACATCTTTATTAAGCAGTATTCAAAATTAGTGTCTTTTCTCAAGAAGAAGTCGGTTGGATATCGAGCAAAAAAGTCGAAAGTTCTCACAAGGGATGATGTGCAACGGTTTTTGGGTGAAGCAGACGACGAAAATTATCTGCTGATGAAGGTAATTTAAATTTATTGCTTGCATGATCATAAATACTTCAGGTAAGTAATTATTTAGGTAGCGCTAATATTCGGAATATTGGGAGCAATGAGGCGAGACGAATTGACGAAATTAACTGTGGACAATTTCGAAGACAGGAGTTTAATTTTGGTAGTGAAAATACCAGATTCGAAAACTTATTCAGAAAGAACATTCACTATTACTTATTTGGAGTAAGTATATAGGAAAATACAAGAAATATGCTGCTCTCCGTCCAGTTAATGCTTCCACCAATTGCTCTTTTTATAAATACGCCAAAGGAAAATATACAAATCAAGTTGTTGACATCAACAAATTGGGAGCAACGCAAAGCATAGTGACAAAATTTCTGAATCTTTAGGATGCTAACCAGTATGCCGGCCATTGTTTCCGAAGAACTTCGGCCACCCTTCTGGCTGATTCTAGTGCCAATATCGTAGAAATAAGACGGCATGGGGGATGGAAGTCGACGACAGTAGTCGAGAGCTACATCGAATATTCAATCCAGCAAAAGAATAAAATATCCGATAAAATATTGGATGTCGAAATTTCGAAAACTCTTGGAGAAGTAGAAAATACTCGAGAAAATAATAATAAGAAAACTGTGAATTTTACGGTCAGATGTAATTTTTTGTTTGATTTTTTTATTAATTAAAGGCTTTCTTGTATTTTGTTGTTTTTAGGCGAAATTGACAAAATAAATTTCAGCGTGCGCCAAAGACTTTTCTTCACCGTGAAAATACACAATATTTAAAAATTGGGTGCTAGGAACAACGTGTGATATTGCCGGAAGAAGTTTGCAATGGAGTACTCTTGTGAAAACAGGCAGATCGAAGAAAGTAAGTACCTATAAGAATTTTAAATACGAACGAAAGCGAGGTAGTTTTGAGAAACTTTAAGCCAAAAGTAGATAAAGTTACGTTCGAAGATGTAGGTACTTTTATCTGTAAACCATGTAGATAGAGTTTTAGATCAAATTAAATGTGACTCGTTGATATTGGAAGAGAAAACAGGAATAGAAAAGATTTGCGCGAAATATGCTGATGTGTTCTATTTAGAAAACGATCCGTGTACTGTTACAAATAATAACTGATAATAGCTCGGGGGGCTTATTTTAACAAAAACAGCGACTTCACGAAAACACAACTCTATTTAGTGATAGTTCACAACGCAATGCCATCCAACATATCTTCGCTAGCGCCACTTAACAACCCTCTCGCACCGCCCCCGTCGTACCAGCCCTTTCTGACCTTCTGCGACCTCAGTTAAATAAAGACAGTGGCGTAGCAGGGGAATTGGTGTTGGCAATGAGGTTCACCGCTAACACTCGGCCAGCCTGACTCAGCGAAGCTGGAAGGTATGGAAAACAGTATTAAAAATGAAAACTAAAATGTAAAAGGTACATGAGTACATAGCAATAAGTAACAAAAATAAACATACAGAACGAACAAAACAAATATCTTAGATGCAAACGGTATTTACAGCGTTTACCAAGCACAAACTCAATATATTAGGGGATCTGAGACGCAAACGGCATTCCCATCGTTTGCTAACACACAGACTTAACACTACAAAGAATTTGAGACACATACGCTATTCTGTTCATTTGTTAACACACAAACTTAACACCGGAAAAAATCTGAGACGCAAACGCTATTCCGTTCGTTTGCTAACACACAGATGTAACACCGGAAAAAATCTGAGACGCAAACGCTATTCCGTTCGTTTGCTAACACACAGATGTAACACCGGAAAAAATCTGAGACGCAAACGCTATTCCGTTCGTTTGCTAACACACAGATGTAACACCTGAAAGAATCTGAGACGCAAACGCTATTCCGTTCGTTTGCTAACACACAGATGTAACACCTGAAAGAATCTGAGACGCAAACGCTATTCCGTTCGTTTGCTAACACACAGATTTAACACCTGAAAGAATCTGAGACGCAAACGCTATTCCGTTCGTTTGCTAACACATAGATTTAACACTGGAAACAATCTGAGACGCAAACGGCATTCCCATCGTTTGCTAACACACAGATTCGAGACGGTGACGTCGATTATTCTTCCAGAAGCAACCAAGACTTCAGATGTTCGACTGCATACGTGCCTTTGTACGGTATGCGGGAGCGGGTAGATCCAAGAATGTCTTCCACCTCATAACGATCGGCACCCAAAACTTTGTTGATCTGGAAGGGACCTTTCCACTTGGGCAGCAACTTACGGCTGTTGCCACTGCCCACAATAGACGAAATTTTCACCAGAACGAGGTCCCCTATGGCAAAAACTGTCGAGTTGCTCCGATGGACATCAAAGCGTTGTTTTTGCCTTTGTTGATCCTCTTGAGTCCGAAGGACTACCTGTTTGCGGAGTTCTGTAACATCAACTCAATCAGTAAACAGGTCAGGAGATGAATTAACTACACTAGTACGATACCCAAACATTACTTCCGAAGGACTGACACCTAAAGATTTATTAAAAGTGTTATTCAGACCAAGTTGTAAGTTATGGATATTGTCATCCCAGTCAGTACTAGTTGTATCAGCACCCATTGTCGCCAAGGAGTCTAAAATGGTGCGGTTGTACCTCTCCACTTGGCCATTGCCACGTGGCATGCCGACGGCGTTCATGTGATGGATGACTTTGTGTGCTTCACAGAACTGTTTGAACGCCTTGGAGGTGAACGAGCGACCTCGGTCAGAAATGATGCGCTTCGGAGGTCCAAAAATCTTAAAAATGGCCAGAAGTTTACTAAGTACATGTTTAGTACGGGTGCTTCGAACAGCGTCCACAAAGCAAAATTTTGTGAAGCTATCCACACATACGAGAACTTGCGTGTTGCCACGCCGGCTTTTATAAAAGGGCCCAGATGATCGATGTGAATTGTGTGGAAGGGGCGAGGCACTTTTTCTATGGGATGGAGCTGACCAGGCTTCTTACCAGCAGATGACTTGTGTCGTTTATATCGAATGCGGCAATCCTCCGTAAAGTTCTGACCTATGACTAATTCTGAATTGGGTATGTTCCAATCTACCACAAGTAGGTCAACTACAAGTTCGACTTTATCAATTTGAACAGAACACTGAACTTTCTGGGAAATAAGAATTTCATTGCCGCCAAAAGCCGTTAGAATAATATTGCCAGGGATTTCGAGTACGTCAAATTTACGAGTCGCCACGACACTACGCGAAATTAGACAATATTCGCTACCAAAGTCTATAAAAGCCGGATGCTCCTTACCATTGATAGTTGCAACTTTATAAAATTTACCCTTCCCAGTATTCTTACAAATAACAAATACATTACTCCGTGCGGAATTTCTGTTGTCGGATTCCCGCTGCAATTGCTCATTGTTCTGTCGTTTTCGTTTAAAACAATTTTTAAGTGTGTGGCCCGCTTTATGACAGTACTTACACTTGACTTGCTGGTTGTTGCCTTTTTGCTCCGGACAATTAAATCGTTTGTGTCCCGACTTATTACACTGATAACACAGCATTTCGGACGATAACGTTTCACCCTGTTGATCATGCAAAGTGCATCTAGGTGATAAGGTGCGAGACAACCGATGAGTGAGGGGTCGTATTTGTTTACGTTGGAACCGATTATATGGGCGCTGAGAAGAGCTTGTTGATGCGAGATTTTCGCTTCCAACACCGAATGCTTTCAAATATGCTGCTAATACGGACGGATCATTAATGCCAGCTGCCCGTACGGAGAGTTTTAAGGTCGGGTGATCTAAACCGCCAATAATAAGGTTTACCTCGTCCGTTCCCGAAAGATTCAAATTCATTTTGCGAATTTTGGCTAATTTTTGAAACGAATATTCGAATAAATTTTGCCCCGGACGATGTCTAAAGCGCAATATATCAGTCATTAATGCGTGTAAATCCCTACTCGGTGGGAAGGTATTTCCTAAAAGACTTTTCCATTCCCCCCAAGTTTTCGGAACCGTGTGCAGAGTTTGGTACCACGTCTCCGCCGATCCCCTAAATTTATTTACCGCAATGTGACAAACATATTTTTCATCGCAACCATATAATTCCCTGTAGTCCTCGAGCTTGGACAGCCACATCTCGACGTCGTCGTCAGCTGGATTAAAATTAGGAATATCGCGATCTCTTACTGATACCCCAGTACCTCGTTGTTCGCTTACACGCCTCAACTGATCAGTGATATCAGCCAACCTGTCCAGGGAGGAATTCGGGGATTGTGCCGAATTTGCAGCCGTTAACTGCCTCAAATCGTCCCTCATTGGCGGCGTATATGAGCGTCCAGGTGGAGGCAACACGTCAGGGCCGTGTCTTGTACGAGTAGACGTTTTCCAGCGGCGCCAACGGTACCGTCCTTCGCTACTAGTGGTGGAGGTAGAGCTCGAACTCGAACTCTCACCGGAGCTGGGGCTTGTACGATGTTTACGCTTGCCCATGATCTACTCTTGATGATTTGATGTCACTAAACACTAACACAAACACCTGAGTTTTCGACGAAAGAAACCGACAACAAAAACCAAAACAACACAAAAGAGGGTAATTCGAATCCCACTTCTGATAATAGCTGATAATAGCTCGGGGGGCTTATTTTAACAAAAACAGCGACTTCACGAAAACACAACTCTATTTAGTGATAGTTCACAACGCAATGCCATCCAGCATATCTTCGCTAGCGCTACTTAACAACCCTCTCGCACCGCCCCCGTCGTACCAGCCCTTTCTGACCTTCTGCGACCTCAGTTAAATAAAGACAGTGGCGTAGCAGGGGAATTGGTGTTGGCAATGAGGTTCACCGCTAACACAAATGTTTACAAATGATAAAAATTAAACACGGTATCGCGCCAGCGTATATTAAACCTTATCGATTGCCACATTCTCAAAAAACGGGGATGTGCAGACAAAGTTGATAAAATGTCAAAGCAGCAATTGATTGAGCCAGCTAGTTCGGAGTGGTCAGCCCCATTTCTGATAGTACCGAAAAAACCCGATTCTTCTGGTAATAAAAGCGTATTTTTATCGATTACAGACAACTTAAAAGAATCGAATTTGACAGATTTCCGTTACCATGCGTTGAAGAGATACTTGGACGAATTGTCGGATGCAATTTTTTTCACTTATCTGGATTTGTATCAAGGATCCTACTATCAAGTTGAGTTAGATCCAGATTCGTGGTCGTATATTGCTTTTACAACAGGTCGAGGACAATATCAAATCACTAGGTTGCCAATGGAATTGAAAATTATTTCAAATTCTTTTTCACCTGCTATGAGAATTGCTCTAAGGCAGTGTTTTTCAAACTTATTGAACACGCGACCCCCTAACGATTAAAAACAATTGTGGCGACCGCCCCCCCTCCCCATATCTTTTATTATCATTATTATTGCATAATCTGGAAGAGAAACTATTAAGTTACTCTCCAGAAGAGGCCTCTGAATGGGCAAAGATTAATAATAAATTCTTTTTTGGATATGTTAGTGAAATTGGCTGATCTAATAACAAATATAAAAGCAAATCTTATTCACCTGGCTGCTAACGAAATGTTGCAAATGGAATTCCATTTAGAAATATGTTCTGGATTAAGAGAAAGAGGAATATCCAGAGCTACAAAACG